TATATATATATATATATATATAAAATAATAATTATTATTTTTATAAAATATACAAAAAAGTATAAAATATACAATATTAGTTAATGAGCCTAAGAATGTAGGCTTACATACATTATCAAATGGCTGTAAAAAATATAATTTTAGAATATATACAATATATAAAAGATAACAGAAGTTCTAAAAAATGCAGTAAAATATAAAGAAAGTTGACTTACTCAAATATTGTCAGATGGCATAAAATTCATTTGCCATAATTAAATATATTACAGATTATATATAGCCTATATATTTTTTTATCTTTTACTGTATATTTTTAATAAGCACACTAAGCATCTAGTGAAAAAAAATATATAAAATATATTTTGGTGTATAACAAGCATGAACCTCTAAGATCTGTAAGATCAGAGAATCCACAAAAGCCAAAGTTCAGTAATGATAGTGTGAGTGTATTTATGTTGAGATTGAGCGCTGAGAGTGCAAGCCTGTGCTTGTGAGTGTGAGATGGAATGACTTACAGTAACAGCCTGTTACAATAGTATGAAAATAAAAAAAGTCTGTCTCTATCACCCTGAAGAAGAATTAAACTATTCTAACGCTCAGTGTTGAACATTTTAGATACATATGTGGGTGAAAGACAGTAAATCAGGCTTGATTTTTAATACCTGACAAAAGCCAGTCATATACAGTGGGTACGGAAAGTATTCAGACCCCCTTAAATTTTTCACTCTTTGTTATATTGCAGAAATACAGTCATGCATAGCTCTGGTCTATCTTAGATAAACCAGGTTTGGCTTAACCGCACAGGCTATCTTTGAACTGCACACCTGTTGGTACTTTAAAGGCTGGCAGGTGAGTGGAGATGAAGGGGGCGCTTGAGACGAGGGAGGGACGGAGCGAGAGGAGGAAGGAGAATGTGTGTGTAATGTTGGCAGTAATTGTCTCTTTGGCCTCGTGCCTGGTTTGTAATGGCACTACAGCAGTTTGAGCCAGTGAATGAGGACATACTGTTACTGTAAATATCATAAAACAGAGCAGACGATCTAAACAGGAGGCTTCTCTGGCAGAGCCCTTCAGTATGAGCTGGCGGGGAGAGCATTGTTTCTTGCTTCCTCTGTGTTATGACTAGACATTAAACTCTCAGGGTCTTTCACACACTCCTACACACATTTGTGTACAAACACAATCTCTTATGTCTGGATTGCATTTGTAGATAAGGAAACTCGAGAGTATGTCTCAAATGTAATTTTTAAAAAATCATTTAAATCTTAATATATGTCTAATTTTTTTAACATGCTGGAAAGGCAGTCAAATTCTTGATAAATTGCGCCCTCTTGTGTCCGTAGATTACAATGCATCGACCACTTATACAAAATCATTAGATACATTTTTTCTTTTCAGTTAAATCTCATAAACAGTTTAGGTGAAACTGATTTGCATGCACTCAAAAAAAAAAAAAGAAGAAGTTTGCTTGTTCAACAACACAATTTTTGTCATAATTTACTTTCATTGTGTTTCATCCAAATAAATCTGTAAAATTTAAGTTAACTTCATAATTTTATGTTGGGACTACATGAATCATTTTTATTAACTTCACTGACTGAGTAGTAGATCTGTCGTTCTTTTTTTCTTTTTTTTTTTTTGAGTGCATGTTGATTTTTGGGCATTGTATGTTTAAAAGCAAAATTAATTGTACCATTTTTAGCTTTGTTAATATAATGTAATATGTAGTATTTTAAATGACATATGATTATATTAAAGCAAAAATGGTCGAATTAAATGAGTTCAATCTGTACATTTGTTTTGTGTTCATGTATGTTTACATTTTTATGTTAAAATAGAAATAAATCCTGAATCATTTCAAATCTCATGTAGAATTTTCTGTTTTTAGATTTAAGACTGAGCTGATTTTTGATAGATGTCAGTGTATTACGGTGTATGGAAGCACAAACATTGTAGTCAAAATTATAACTTTTTAATATGATTGTTTTCTTTTATAATGAAAATGTGGATTTTAACTCATTTTGTAACAGTAAAGTGCTTGATAAACCAAACTAAAATAAGTGTAAAGTAACAATTTAAAAAACATGCCCAAAACCTGGTAACATACTGTATATATATATACCTCTGAACTTTTTGCATTTTGTATTCAGTCGAAAAGGTCTGTTTCAGGTCTTGTGATTCATTTAAAAAGATATATAAAACATAACAGCATAGTTCTGTAACATTTCTATTAATGATATGCAGTATAATATGACCTCAAAGTATTATATTGAGCTTTGTTTTTGATACGGTATTGTCATTAGAGTGTTTAGAGAATAACGTTTGTGAGGCGTCTCTCAAATCTGACAGCAGCTCTTTGTCAGTGCTGCTGGGAAGCTCTTCAGCTCAGCACATTTCACCTTCAGAGCGGATCCACGAACACATTCAGACTCGGCTGGCCAGCGCTCGACCCATGTGTCCTTACCCAGCATATACAGGTACCTGAGAGAGAAAACGCAAATGAACTGTGCCAAAAGTAGGGGGAAAAACTTCCTTTTTGGGTGTTTAGTGCTATTATGGTACTCACTTGTCGGTTGTGCTCCCTGCGTGCCAAACATCAGCAATCCGCCCAATGATCAGATAGTCCTGACCCTCTCTCAAACCAAGCCCCGTCCTACAGCTTGCATGTGAGAGAAACATCCTCTTGTCATGTTTTTTCAAACCAACTTCTGACCCTGCATGGACAAATAAACGCATAAACATGGTAATAGCCAGAGCCAGCATAGTCACATTTAAATATATCTGCAAGCTGCAATTATATTGTTGAACACTGCCATCTTTCCTGTGATCAAAGCTGAGTGTTCAGCATCATTGCTCCAGTCTTCAGTGTCTCATGATCCTTCAGAAATTATTCTAATATGCTGATTTGCTGCTGATATGTGTGTGTGTGTGTGTGTGTGTATTCCCTCGGGTGTGTACTTCTGATGTCTTGGTAGCGCAGAAAAAATAAAATGTCACACAGAGGACAGGTGTAAAATGTGTGAGGAGAGCTAGTTGATTATATTCTAGTAAATGAGAAGTAATTGCAGTGCTCTGGTTAACCGCTATAGAGTTGGTGTTACTATAGAGTTAGAACCAGTCAATGCGATTTACAGGTTTCATAGAAAGAGATGCCTTGTCCAAAGACCCACACTTGCGGTCTTGGCCACTTGAGAGCGCGTGCGCGCGACAGGAAGTCCATGCGCAAGACTGTCCCAGGTTTTAAAAACGCCAAAGCGCAGTGCCCTTAACACACACTAAACCCACACTATCTCGAATACCGCTCCGGAGTGCTATTCGAGGCTTAGTGTATCCCATCATGCATCATGTTCTGGAAATAAATCGTGAGACTTTTTGCCGAGATCTCGCGAGAGGTCACGGAAACCTTTCCAATGCAAGTTAACTATTAATATAATAATTAGATATTACCTATAATTTGGTAGAAAAACAGTGATATTTATTTTTTACAACATTTGCAACTGCTTTTTATCACTTAATTAGAAGCACCACAAAGCAAAATTATGTCATGTTATAGGGACTACTGAACAGACATTTAGAAGTTGATTTTAAGATGCAAAGTATTTAATATTAAAATAAAGCTATGTAAACACTTGCATTTTTACAACACTATAAATGTGTCCCATCAGGTAATGAAAAGTTCGACACACACTTGCGGTCTTCATCCTCACTTGAACACTTGGGTCAAATACAGGAAATACGTCATATAAGTGTTCAAAGGGTCAAGTGCAAAGACCGCAAGTGTGGGTATTTGGAGAAGGCAAGAGTGTGCGCACCAAATATGTCACTCAACGCGAGAGGCATCGTCACAAAATGATGACGTTTGAAAGAAGAGTGGCCTGATTAATGTGGGAAATAATGGATGATTGGCTAAGGTAACAAAACTCCCTGCTTTGGGACACACTTTACTTCTGCCTTTCCAAAAGCTCTGCCTAAATGTACATTTTCAATAAGCCATTCTGCTGTTTTGGGTCTGAAAAACATTTTTACACAATTGTAAATGTGAACCGGTGGATCAAGAAAAAGCTAATGTGCCTTCTAAAGTTTAAACAATTGATGTTTACATTAGTATAATATATGATATTTTTGACTTATCCCTTTTCTTAAAATATGGTTTAAAGGCTGAAATGTGAATTTTGTCATTTGTGTTTTTGTGAAAATCTATATCTGAACTGAAAATCATGTTTTTTTTTCAGTAATTTTATGGTTTAATATTTGACCATAGACATATGCCTACCCCGCTCATACAGTATTACAGTATTTGTGTAGATTCTCAGTCAATGTTCCCTCTAATATTTTTTCTTGCTGAGCAAAACTTTTCTCTACTGGGCGGACATTTCGGCCGCACCTGAGCAAAAACATTCTTTACAGACCTGTACAGCACACATACAAAAAGTGTGTAACTTTTAACTTTAATGTGCTAATTATATTTGATTTGACCCTTGATGTAACTAAATGATGCACAGGTTACCTGAGAAAACAGTTTTTACAGTGCTGTGTTAAATTCAATTCTATTAAAAATCTTCTTTTTTTTTAAAAATCTCACGCAGAACAGTTTTTATAATTATATTAGCCTATTTTATATATTGTAATATAATATGAAAAAATGAAGCAGATAGGCTATTGCTCATGAATTCCCTTTTTGAGGTCAATTATTTACTAGGTATCTAATATATAATGTAATATATAATATAATATAATAATGTAGCGTCTCGACCAATCTGACACACTAATTTTTATTTGATTTAACAAATCAATTATTCATTAGATTAACAAATTGCCCCATGACAGGCCCTGGACTCCAGTAGCTCTTTAAAAGTCTTATACTGGCTGATGTCAGGGAATGGCAAGCTGGCTGTTAAGCAGGTAAGGAGGCAGGGAACTGTTTTTCGAAGCTCGTCTTCATCTGCAGCCACAGGGTGTTGGATTTCCGGCCACAGATTTGGAGGATCTTTGAGAAAGGATGGCCCTTGGTACCAATGGCTAGCTGGTCCCAGCCTACATAGGCTTTTCCCCCGTGTTATATCATCTGCTGGGTTATGAATTGATGGAACATAACGCCATGTGTGCTGGTCTGTAATGTCCTGGATCTCGGCGACTCTGGTTCCAACAAACACTTTAAATCGGCAAGAGTCTGAATGCAGCCAAGTGAGAACTGTGGTGGAGTCTGTCCACAGAGTGAGTTGGTGTATGGGAAGGTTCAGTTCTGTTCTGACTACTTTAGCAAGCTGTGCCCCAGTCAGTGCAGCACAGAGTTCCAGACGAGGGATCGATTGCTGTTTTTTGAGTGCCACTCGTGATCTGGCTGTGAGGAAGGCCACCTCTACCTCCCCACCTTGATCCTCTGTGCGAAGGTAAGCGACTGAGCCATAAACACGCTCAGAGGCACCACAGAAGATGTGTACCTCTCGCTGACTCATGTCTGTATCTCTGATTGGGCTGGTGTAACACCTTGGAAAGACAATGTGTTGTAGGGAAGGCAGCTCCTCCACCCACTCTGTCCAGATCTGTAGAAGATCTGCAGGTAAGTGCGGATCATCCCAGTCTCTTTTCTTATCCCAAAGGCGCTGCACTATGAGCTTGGCTCTGGTAGTGAAGGGAATGAGATAGCCCAGGGGGTCATACTGACTTGCTACAATTCTGTAAATGCTGCAAAATGTTTTGTATGGGACGGTACTTATAGGAAAGCGTGTCCGTTTGGTGATTCCAGAGGAACCCCAGGGTAGATTCTTGGGTGTTGCTCTGCCCTTGTGAAATCCAAAGTTCAGTGCCGTCTGATCTGACCTCAGGAGGTAAATGGCTTATGGTGGAGAGTTGGTTGCTGGACCACTGCCTCAGGTCGAAACCTCCTCCAGCCAATAAGCTCCGGAGTTTGTCAACATGACTCTTGCCTGCTTCCACTGAGGTGAAACTCTGCAGACAGTTATCTACATAGAAAGACTTCAGGACAGAATGGCGGACGTCTTCCCCAGGTTGGCTATTGTCCAGGATGTGTTTTTGTAATGCAAATATGGCACAGCAAGGGCTGCATGTGGTGCCGAAGGGGAGAACCTGCCATTCATAAACTTTGGGTGGATCCTGTGGATTTAGATCCCTCCAGAGGAATCGCAGAAGAGGCCTGTCTTCGGGAAGCAATCTGATCTGGTGGAACATCCCCCGGATATCACTGCTGATAGCAACTGAATGCTCTCTGAACCTGAGCAGCACTGCAAGAAGAGATGGGCCTAACACAGGACCAGGGAGCAAAAGCTTGTTAAGGTTTTGACCCTGATATTGAAACGAGCAATTAAATACAACCCTGTTCTTCCCGTTGTGTTGTACCAGGTGATGGGGAATGTACCAGGTGTTGGTTGGGCATTCTTCGGCACTTAGTTCCACCTTGACTGCATAACCTGCCTGCTCTAGTTTCTGAATCTCTGCTGTGTAAGCAGCTGCTTGCTCTGGATCTTTGGCAAGCCTTCTCTCTATGGCTCGCAGATGAGGGAGAACAGCATTTTTGGGAGCCTTAAGGTCTGGAAAGTTCTTAACGCGCAAAAGTGAGGTTGCATAGCGCTTGACGCCATCCACCTCTACTCTCACTGTCTTGCTCTCCAGAATTTTCACTGCTTCCTGATCTTGTCTGGATCTTGTGCTCATCTTTTCACTTTGCCAGGGAAGGACGTCCATCTGCCAAAGTCTCTCCACTTGTCTGAGAAGATCAGTTTCTGGTGGTGCCATTGAGGTGAAAAGACAATGTTGTTCGGTGACCTCATGTTGCAGGTGTTGTACAGGACCCTGCAAAGTCCAGCCGAGACGAGTCTTGATAGCTGCTGGTCCCCCTGGGGGGCTTAATGTCCCCACTGGCTATGTTTGGACCATCCATGAGCTCTGCTATGCGTTGCAACGCGAGCTGATGCGGCTGTCCGAATTGCTGATCCAGTGCTGCCATGGTCTTTGTGAAGGGTTGTTGGGAATGACTGTATGAATCAGCGATAAGCAGGGCCTCCTCTAGTTTGAGGTGATCAGTGAGTATTTGGAATTTGAATCTCTCTGTGGCTGTAGCTGGCAGAATGTTCTCCAGAGCTGTCTTGAGCCGTGAGAATTCTCTAGGGTTCGGATGTACAAAGTCTGGAATTGTGGGGGTCGAACCTCGGTACATCTGCTCTAGCTCAGAAGGAACTGGGCTGAATGCTCTGCATGGCAGGTGAGAGCGTCGGGCGGATTCAAAGGTTGGAGGGCCTGCGGTCTCTAGTTCGCCTGATGCATAACGACTTAGTCTGTAAGGCGTCTCAGTTCTAGAGTAATAGGTTCTTTCCTCACTTGAATGTTCGGAGTGTGATGCTTGGTACGGGGAGTGCGGCTTTGCTCTGGGAACAGCTATTGGAGCTAGGAATGCCTCAGAACTGTGCTCAGGCTGATCTGCCTCAGCAGACCTGAATCGTGGGGCTGACACTGGTGTTTTCAGCAAACTGCGTGGTGCGGGTACAGGTCGCGTAGGGGTGACAGGTGGAGAAGACTGTGCTGCAGGCTGCCGCTGCTCCATTTGGATCTGTAGCTGCTGCATTTGTCGTTTCAGCTGAGAAAGTTCTTGTGAATACTGGTCTGTAGCCTGTTGAAACGTGTCCCTTTCTTGCTGCATCGTCTGCAGGGTCTGTAGGAGAATTAATACCTGTAGATTTTATTGTAATGCATTGTTTTCTGTTAATTCAATTGCTTCAGTTTTAAATTCAGACTGTGCATAATGCAGCCTCATTCAAAGCACATTTACTGAACTCTTTCAGTACAGTAACAATGTTTCTCAGGTCTATTAAATATAACTCCACCCCATATAATTGCTGTTAATAGTGTTCATCGTCTGTTTGATTACGTCTTTAATTGATTTTTCCGTACATTTCTGCCATATGTACATTGACTGACAGTCACCACTGATAAGCTACCACTAAATATTGTAGAAACTTAATTTGCTGTAAAGTTGCTTTGCAATGATTTGTATCGTGAAAAGCGCTATACAAATAAACTTGAATTGAATTGAATTGAAGTTTAGTACGGTCCTTTTAAGAGCTGCACCCTGCACGCATCCGTTTCTCTTGAGTCTCAACTGTTTACTTTCACTTTAGACATAACTGTTTTAATATGTAAACTTTGTGTGTTTTTGACAGTTATCTTAGTTATTGTCTGACTGCGCTAATCAGTAATCAGGTGCTGTTTGACAAGCCTTTTAGTGTACGGACGCTTCAGGTGTACATGCTCTAAATTAAGCACATGTCAGAACAACACGCAATGAAATGTTTAACCGGCAAGGCTTTAAAGCACACGCAAATAATGTACTTTTGTGATTGCGAATAAGTGCAGCGTCTCGTGAGTGTAACTCTACTGCTGAATTAACATTTGATGTGAATGTGTCTCGCGAGTTACAGTTGGACAGCGCATTGCTTGAGGTAGATGTGTTTTGTTAGTAAATATTTCATTATATTACTAGTGCTGCCTCCTTTGTTCACTATTACACTACTGCATATATTGCATCTGACACTGGTGTCGCTTAGTTTTGTAACGTGAGCCCACACTTTCGAACGTTTCACTCTTGGCGCGATGACTTATTGCATGCAAACACACACCGCACATGTGCATGGATATCACACACACGTCGAGCAAATGTCGGCCACATCATTCAGTGATTCTGAACATGACAAGCAGTAGCTTCTAATTCGCCATCAACATTGACGTATACGGAGATAAAACAATGCAAGTATAGATAACAGTATCGTTTGTCCTGAAGCTTATCGGTAGTCCGGTATTGACCCAATTACGTACCAGTCCAAAAAAAATACCGGTTCTCGGTACCCATCCCTATAACAATCCCTAGTTGCTAAGAAATTGTCATCACACATAAATTAATTTTATTACATTTGGATTTGGATACATGTTTAGATATTATGAATGGCTACTTTTTGTCTTTCTGTTTTTTGTTCAGTTGTTTTATTGTTGTTGTGTCAGTTATTGCATTATTATTTCAGTCAAACCTATAAAACCCTTTTACCACAAACTACATATAAAAGCCTGATCAGTGGCATAAAAGTAATCAGAATGCAGCTACTTGTTCCTTTGTTACACTTTGATGCATGAACTTCCCCTTTAAATAACGTGACGCTCTGCCCTCTATGTGCATGACGCTGCTCCTATTAAGCGCTGTTAGAAGTGAATGAATTGATTCAGCATTTCGACACTTCCGTAAGAATGCGTTAAATTTGACAAACCGGGTTAATAAAGGATGTATTGATCTTGTGAATTCACGACTTTTACTACACCAATATTTTTTAATTGGCTGTTAAAGTTTGTTGGGAATATTACACGACACTGATCCTTAAACAATGCATTGACGAAAAAACGCACACCTTTTGGACCAATTTCATAACATGATTTCTCGACTGCCACAAATACTGCCTAAACAAAATACTGATTTTGTGCACTTTTTACTGTGCCAGTATTTTAAATTGGCCTTTGAACTTAGCTTTATTGCATGGCAAAAAAAAGCCTTACCTTGCCAAAGCACTGACAGAACCCATTGAACTAATGGTGTTGATGAGTGCTCCAAATGCAAACTTTGCATGCAACAATCAGGCAGTAATTGACAGTGCCCTGATCCAATGGCATACAGGCATCATCAGAATGACAGTACTCTAGCCCAATGATGTTGGGGGATCCAGTGGGGGCAGCAATCATGCACTCTAAAAAATGCTGGGTTATTTTTTAACCCAAATGCTGGGTTCAGCCTGTTGGGTCATTTTATTGGGTTGTTTTTAATATTTTTACCCAGGTGCTGGGTAGTTTTCCCCGTAACTAAGTTGCTGGGTCATTTTTAACGCGGGGTTATTTTTTTCTACCCAACCCCTGAGTTGAGTCTCTCCGACAAAACGACCCAGCTGCTGAATTACAGTCAGAGCGCGGGCTTTTTGAGTCCACTACAGGAGAGAGCAGGGGCGGACTGGCCATCTGGACGTTCTGGAGAAGTCCAGAATGGCCATCCATCCGATGGCCATCGGCTGGCTGGTTCATCATCAAAGAAAAAGTGTCAGATTAAGTGGCATTGACGGCCAACAAAAGGGGGCGCTAATGCAATCTATTTTTGCTTATAAGAAACCGAAACTGACGCGAAGGAGAGTGGACTCATGATGACAAGCAAAAGACGTGAAGATAAAGGCGGTTGGGAGAAGCTAAAAGGAAAAAAAGCGAACATACGTCAGGTTACCTTTGCCCGCCTCTCTCACTATACACAGCATGTAGCCTATAGCACTATTCCTAATGTAATATGTCCCAAAACACACTACAGGAAACCATTATTTAATGGTTTTAATGGTTAAAAGTTGATGGTTTGTAATGTTTGTAATGGTATTTGTAGTGGAAATAATTTGAATTTCTGTGATGGTTTCCATTGTTTTTGTCAGCAGGGTCAACATGGGTTTTGTGATGTTATCTGCTATAAATGCGATAGGATTGCTGTAATATTGTGAGATAGTAGCGACTGTTTGTAGTTGTGGTGGGCCTATTTGGGAGAAAATCCAGGGCCGTTTTTTACTCCCAGTCCGTCCCTGGGAGAGAGCAGTTCTCAGCACTGCCACCGCCGATTTGGTGCACTCTTTCCGGGAAATAAAGGTTTGTATATATATTTTTTCATTTATAAAGTCTTTAAAGTTAAAATTATATTATATTATATTATATTATATTATATTATATTATTTTATTTTAGGCAACGCAACATAAGGATGAGATCATGTCAGTCAGCTGCGTCAGCAGCGGTAATTCCGCACGATGGAAACGCCTTTTGCCTCGCATTACATAAATGGATTTTATTTGTTATACGGAGTTTAATTTAATTTGAGGTTAAAATATGTTCTCTAATTTCAGTACTGTTTGTTTATGGGCAGGTTTTGGAGTCAGTCGCAGCATCTTTCAGCTATGAGTGAAACGTGAGGCCGCGGTCTAAAGTTCGCAGTTCCTCCGGCGAACAGCAGCCCTTCACCGGCTCAGATTTCGCCGACACACCGGCAC